TTTCTTATAACATCTTTGTCTGATTTTGGTATTGGGGTAAAATGCTGGCTCCACAGAATGAGTTTGGAAGTGTTCCTTCTGCTTCTGTCTTCTGGAACAGATTGAAGAGAACTGGTAAAATTTCTTCCTTAAATGCTTGATAGAATTCCTCATCATTTTCCTCAACTGTCCTAATATTTAATCCACTGTAAATCCTCCCTCTTAGAATATTTCCTAGAATATTTTAGGAAATGTTTTTTCTTCACTACTTTTCAGTTTTCTGAAGGAGTTTCTGTAGAATTGGCACATTCCTTCATTAAATGTTGATAGAACTAATCACAGAAGCCACCTGGGCTCAGGGTTTTCTTTGTGGAAAGGTTTTCAACTGGGCACATTCAATATCATTAATAAATATAGAGCTATTCAGTTTATTTATTCCTTCTTCAGTAAGATAAGGTAGTTTATGTCTTTCAAGAAATGTGTCAATTTCATCTAAGTTGTCAAATTTACTGGCATAAAGTTGGTTTCTTTTTCTAGTTTTTTTAAGGTGGAAGTTGAGGTCACTGACCTGGGCCGCCTTCCTTTCTAATATAGGTGTTTAAGGCTATAAATTTCCTCCTAAGTACTGCTATAGCGGCATCTCACAAACTTTGATATGTTATTTTTTCATTTTCTATCAGTCAAAATACTTTTTAATTTCCCTTTTAATTTCTTCTTTGATTAATGGGTTACTTACAATTGTGTTTGTTTCCAAATACTTGAGGATTTTCGTGTTTGTTATTGATTTCTAATTGAATTCCACTGTTTTCAGACAACATTTTTTTTTCACTTGAACCCTTTTAGATTGAGACTTGTTTTACAGCCCAGAATATGATCTACCTTGGTAAATGATCTATGTGTACTTGAGAACAATGTATATTCTGCTGTTGTAATTGATACATAAATGTCAATTAGTCAGAGTGGTTGAGAGTGTTCACTAGAAATCTGCTGTTATCCTTAGTTTTGTTCCTCTCCATGTAATGTGTCCTTTTTCTCTGGCTGTTTTTAAGCTTTTCTGTTTATCATTGGTTTTGAGCAATTATGATGAGTTCTGCTGTTGTCTTCATGTTTTTTGAGTTTGGATTCCATTGATCTGTGTGCCAATAATTATTTTTTTCCTGCTCCCACTCCCTTTTTAGGAGTTGTGCCACAGTTCACTGATACTGTTAATGTTTTTCTGAAATCAGTTTTCTTTACATGTTTCATTTTGGATAGTCTGCATTGCTATGTCTTCAAGCTCACTCATCTTTTCTTCTGTTTTGATATCCTTGTCTGCTACTTCTAATATCCATGTCATATCTCAGTTTCATTTTCCAACTTCTCTGCATACCTGATAAGTTTTGATTGAAAATCATACAGTGTACATTTTCCAGTTTGGGGTCATGGGTAATTCTGTATTCCTAAAAATATTTTTAGCTTTGATCTGGGATGTAGTTAAGTTACTTGAAAACAGTTTGATCTTTTCAGGTCTTGTTTTCAAGATTTGCAAGGCATGACAAAAGCCATGTTTAGGGCTGTTTCTCACTACTCTGTACCTTTGCATACTCTAGCCAATGTTCTGTGAATTATGACATTTTCCAGTCTTGCTGGTGGGAAAGGCACTATACTTGGCCCTTTGTGAGTACTGTTCCCTCTAATCCTTTTAGATGTTGTTTTCTGGCCTGGGTAGTTTCCTCATATGCATGCACTGATACTTAAAAGGGCCTTCTTCACATTTCTAGAGTTCTCTGTCTGTAGCTCACTTCTTCTACCCGCCCTGTAATCTCTCGCCACTTTGATGTCTCTTGACTCTCAGCTCCATTTCCTCAAATCAATGAGTATGCCAGAAACTGCTTGGGATCCCCCTTCCTGTACAACTACCTAGAAACTGTCAAGACATTAAGCTGGGGCAAACATAGAACACGCTTTGTTTACTTCTTGTCTCTAAAGAATCATTGACCTTTATTGCATGATAGCCACTATTTTGAAAACCATTACTTTGTATATTTTGTCCAGTTTGGGGTTGTTTTAAGCAAGAGGGTAAAGCAACAGGGTAAATTCAGTTTCTATTACTCCATCTTGGCCAAAAGTGGGATTCCTCCATCCTTGATTTTTATTCACTCAAGAAATATTTACTGAGTACCTATTATATGCCAGGTGCCTCTGGGCCAGGTGATGGTGATAGAGCACTAGGCAAAGTGTAGTCTTATCTCTCAAGGTCCTTATATTCTAATGGGATATAAAAAAATGGGTAAATAAGTCTTGATAACAACTTACTGATTTTAGAAAAAAATCCAGAGTCCTTACCATGGTTTAAAAAGCAATTAAAGACACAGTCCCCGCCTGTCGCTCAAATTTCAGCTCTATGACTTAGTCCACTGTCGTCCTACATTCCAAGCACACTTAAACACATGCAACTCCCCAAATGTACCATATTTTCAATTCAAAGTCTTTGTATATATAGTTCTCTATGCTTAGAATAATCTTGTCTCCTTTCTTTCCCTGATTCCTTTAGGATCTGTAAGATTCAGCTCAGATATCTCCTCCTCTAGGAAATCTTTCCAAACTCCCTAGTCTGTTTATATATATAAACTTTTATTGATACTCCTTTGGCATTATATATTCAGAAACCCAACTCAATCTAACCTATTCAAAAAAGACAATTATTGTAAAGGTACTGGGGTGTTTCAAGGATCCCAGCAAAGAAATGCACATAAGCCTAAAGAACTACAATGAGGAACTCAAATGCCATCAGGATTTTCTCCCCATGTTGTCTCCTCTCCTGGTCTGTGTGTCTTGAATCCTCTTTATGCATCTTGTCCATTCTCTTCTTTGTGTATCTGTTCATTCTTCTTCTTTCTCTTGATTATCCTTTTTCACTATTCTAGTCCATATAATGGAAAAGTAGTCACTGTCAGCTTCTGAAATTTGTACCTTATATAATTCAGAGACCTGAAGGAAAACTTACATATCCTTCTTAAGTTCAGTTCTAACATTTCCTGGAAAGGAAACTGATTGGCCCTATTTAGGCCAGCTTCCTACCTACCCTATGTCAATCTGTTGGAATCAGGAGGCAGGGTCATGCTTTCACATGGCTGCTCCTGTTGTTATCAGGTGGACTGAATGTAGGAATGTAGACATGACAATTATCTACACGGGGTTCAGCTAAGATAATTCTAAAAGTGACCACTATTACTTGCATAGAGCCCTGTGAATAGCTGTATCAGAACATTTTTTGTCTCTCTTATGAGAGCTCTTGTGGGGCAAGAACTGTCCCTTTCATCTACACAGGTAATGACCAAACAGGGTAACATATAACTAATAAATTAATTAATAATTAACTCCTCAAGACCAGGGATTGAAACAAATGACAAAAGCTGACATGACATAATGGAAAAGAACATGAGTTAGGAAGTGAGGGGCTTTAGTGGTAATCCAGGTTCTGCCAGTAACGACAGGCTAGGTACTCAACTTCTCTATACTTCAGTGCCTTCCTTTGTCAGCAGAAATTTTTATAGTAGTCCTACTTACCTGAAGAAACTGTTGTGTGCTTTGAGTGAAATAATATATGTCTACAAAAAAAAAATCACTATACAAATATAAGGGAGTTACTACAGTAATCATAAATATGCAAATAAGGAATTTAAGAAATAGCATTCCCTCCTGATTAGTGGGAGTTAACAACCACTGAAAGTAGAAAATAATAAGAAAACAATTACAATAAATGCCAGTATAACTCAGAATAAAATTATGATTTTCAAACACCGAAGGCTTTTGGATTTCAAAGTCTTGAAAAAAAACTCATGCTTTTGCCAAGGGAGATAGGTTTTCATCATAATTTATGAATCATAATATGTAGTTAATGTTCAACATAAAGCTAAACGTATACACTGAGAGAGAACCTGCTTTTGGCTTTAGAATTTCATTTCTTCTAATTTACTTGATAAAGTACTCCTGCCTTATGGAGATATTACTTTATATATGATTAAAAATCTTATGGTTAATGTATTTTAAAATGGATATAACAAGTAGTCTATATCAAAGAATTATTCAACACATGAGAGCTGCTAAGGAAGAAATGAGATAATATGTGTAAAAATACACTCTAAATGATAGTGTTCTATGTGAGGACAGAGACTACGGAATGCAGTAGTCTTTATCAGAAAAGGCCCAGAAGCTTAACACCAGATGGAAAGTAGAGCTTGGAGAATCTTCAAAGAGAGCTGATGGGGACATTTTTGATTGCATAAAAATTATTTGAAAATTATAAAGACCAATGGCACCATATTACTGATTTTTTTTTTTTTGATATGTCTCTATAGTGCATAAAGTGAGAGAAGAACAAAATGGATTCTAAGTATAATTCTTGCTGCTTCCCCAAGAATGCTCAAAGGTTTTTCTAAAAATATGTATTACTGTATTTTTAATGTTCTCTTTTTGATGAAGTTGGGAAGATTCAGGCCTTTTTCCTGAAGAAAACAAGCTGAAATGATTTTTCCTTCAAAGACTTTGGACACAATGCCAGCTAGAATTTGGAGTCAGGGATTAGTTTTGAACATAACAATAGTTTTAGAATGAGTTAGAAAACCTAAGTAACAACCAATGATTAAGAAATGCGTATATTAACTTAATTTTGAGGTTATCTTTTTTTTAATATCTAAAAAGTAAAATCAGCTGGAAATAAATGATAATCTTCTCCCTTTTGGAACATCAAAAGGAAGCTGCATCTGAATCCCAAGGTAACAGTAAACACTTGAAAATTGCACACCCTAACTGAAGGTCATAAGCTTATGTCAGGCAAAGCCATACTAATGGACAGACAGAAAAGATTCAAGCAAGAAAGTTATAACTTAGGTATTTAGCTAATGCCAAAAATTAACTATATTATAGTTATATTAACTATATTAAGACCCATTTAAACATTAGCCCAATTTGCTGTTATACATAACTAAAGTATTAGTTGAAATCAATCGTCATTTAATTTTTCCCCCTTTTTAACTCACCTGTAAGATTCTTTGCAAGATTGATGGAAGGGCAATAAATGTTGCCATGCTGTTCAGAACTTGCATGGTCAAAGATTTCAAAGCTGTTATAACAAAATGTTAATATTAAGATTAGTTTAAAATAAGAGTTTTTAGTTTTTCCTGTAAGTCAGGAGAAAATACTGGACTTCTACAACTTCTTAGAAACTTAGCTAACCACGGTCAGTTTGATATTTTAAAATTAACTGTGGATAAGTTGCAGGACTACTCTTATTCAATATAAATTATATGAGTGGTGCAACAGAAAGAATTAAACCTAAAAGATTAGATCTATAATAAAAATAGTAAATTGGGGAAAGACATCATAACGATAGTTTTTGCATTTAAAAATTGAGTTGATGACATAAATGGACTCATTTCAGCTCTGATTAATTTACCTTCAGAGTGTAGATGAGGTGCAGAGGAACTGGACAGCTTCTGGGGGGCCATCATTGCCTCTAGTAATGGAAACCAGAGTGCCTATAATGTCAGAGAAATCCGAAGAAAAACCAAAGTGCACTGTTATTTTCAAGAATAACTAGCATCAGCATAGCATTTTACAGATTAAAACGCACTTATCACATACATTTGTTGGCAAAAATTAGAAGAAAAGAGGGAATATTTGACCAGGAGGAGAAAAGACAATAAAAAGCAGAAACCACAGCCAGAACAGATATCTTTACCATGCAGCCTTAGAATACAGAAGGAAGCTGAAGTTAAATAAGTTTAGGCCTTGGAACTGCAATCTTATTTACATGTGTCAGGAGAGGGTAGGTTCAAAGAAGCCAGGGCAGAGCTTCCTGCTAGGTTGTTATCTACTCTGGTATAAATGTATCACTGACAAAGTCCAAATAACCCTAGGTACTACAGAAAGGAATAAACAACCCCCACAGCTGACCCCTCCCACCATTTTTCTTTGGCTAGGTCAAGCAAGATAAATGAATAAAGGCTATGCAAAGTTTCTTCCTTTACCAAGCATTATTTTATACTTCCTGTCATCGCAGATCAGGAAGTAGAAGTTAACATTATCTCAATTAACACTACCAACCATACCAAGAGCTAAACAAATAGATCTATCATTTATTTATTCCTATTATGCTAGGCACTGTATTAAGTGCTTTGCATGTATTTTTTCATTTCAATCTCATAATATCCTTATACAGTAGGTGTGATCTTCACTTGAGATAAGAAATTGAGGTTTAGAGATGTTAAGTAATTTGCCAAAGATTATACTGCCAGTAAGTTAGTTGTCTAACTCCAAAATCTGTGTTCTTCCTAAGCCTTAGGAAAAATATTTATATAAAAATCAAGTTAATACATTTTAACATCTCAAACATGTTTTCTTGTTGGATAATGATTTACAAATGCCCTAACCCAGTTTCTTGGGAAAAACCTATTGCTGCCAACATGCAGGAGCCATGAAGAAAGTTAGTATTGACAAGCAGGACAAGAGTGGTTATTTGCATGAGGGCATTTTCCATACCCCACCACCAATAATGTAGAGCTGGCCTGGCAATGAAGATGTGGAGGTGGTTTAAGGAAAAGGCGACAGGCTAAAGGTCCAGCTGGGGGACCTTCCACTGAAGAGCTCTTCTAAGAAACTCTCAAGGGCCAGCCCGTGGCTCACTTGGGAGAGTATGGTGCTGATGATACCAAGGCCACGGATTCGGATCCTATAAAGGGATGACCAGTTCGCTCACTGGCTGAGCGTGGTGCTGACAACACCAAGTCAAGGGTTAAGATCCCCTTACCGGTCAATTTTAAAAAAAAAAAAAAAAAAAGGAGAAGAAGCCCTCATCTGCCCCCATTTGAGGTTAAGGCCAGGATTTTATGCTTCTAACTTTTTATGTATCTCCTTAAGTTCTTAAGATACTTGTTTTAACTGTGTTATATACTGACAATTCTTTATTTTATTAACATTTGTATTATTTTATCCATTACTCATGAACTTTTAGTCTTGTATTTTATTCTTAAATAGTGTAGGGTTCTCCATACCCCCCTGCTTTTTCTCTCGTCCTGACTGAGAAACAGAGTGCCCTGACTGCTCTGTGACTCGACCAGCAGCGTGTTTTTTCTTGCAGGCTTTAACACAAGCCTGGCCCTTAAACATTCCTAGGAACTGGTAAAGGAGTTTAGGTTGTTACCCAAAACACTGAAAGAAACTAGCCGTGGCCCTGAGCCAAATTCCTTAAATCTTCATATAAACTCCATAGCTTGACCTCCTTGTTGAAGACACAGGCAGACGATCAGATCACTTTCTCTCCCTTTCTGCCCGAGGATATACTACAGTACATAAGTTACCTAATAAATGCTTTGGAATGATCACTCTGGCGTTCAGTGCTTCTTTTTTTGCAAATCCAACTGGCCCCATCTCGGGGAGGCTTGGAACACTCCCTTGTGGGTACTCCCCTGCTGCCACTTTTGGGGAGACTCTAGCTTTGGGTTTGGCTGGGATGAAACAGATAGCTCTACTTACCTTACCTTTTAGCTGTCTATTTTAATTTCTTTTTATGACCATGTCATTTATTTTTGTGTATTTTATGGTCTTCTACTTGTATATGGCATATCAAATTTTTACCTTTTGGTTTTCATATTTATCATGTTTGGAAATTTAACTTTAAAATTTTCTTATTTACACAGACAATTTAGAAGAATTATCTTTTTTAAAGGTTTATTTATTCTTGATTTATAAAATGGCAGCCTGGGAGAAGCATGGTTATAGAGGTAATAGCCATGGAATGCATTCACACCTTAGGGAGTTATTCCTCTTCCATTAAATCTCTAAATTAACCCTAAATGTATGTTATACACCCTTTAAATAATTTTATCTCTTTTACTCTTTAATATTAATTCTTAAAATTTTAACATGGATAACTAAAAACCCATAGGCTAAAATAATCATCCATGGTAATGACAATCCTACCTCCTGAAAGAGCAAGCAACACAACTCAACTTGAATTACTTTCTCATGTTACATAACAAATAGCTTTCTTTTCAGGGAATTAACATGCATATCAAAGCCATAGTCCTTGTTATATGTAATCACTGGACACTGGGATGACAATATACAAAGGTAGGAGACGTGGTTAGAGATTCTCCTGGGAAAGAACTGACAACCCAACCTTCCTGGGAGTCTAACTTTCAGGAGATACTCCATAACATTGAATCTTCTGATGGAACTTTTGGTGGGAGAATTATAGATAATTCACTATCAAGTTTTTGGCTATTTCAAATTTTCTGTGACAACAGCTCTTGTTCTCACTTTTTCCAAAACAAAACATAACAAAACAAAGGCAAAGAGAAACAAAGCAAACAATCATAATATCTTCCAAACTTAATGTCTAGTATTATATAAAAACCAGTCTAGCATTTTCACAAAAATAGTATTTACATAAAAACGAACATTCAAATGTTTTTGTTGTTGCTATTATTAAACCTGTTCGGAAATGAAACAAAACAAAACAAAAAAAAAAAAATGCAGCAGAAATCAGTTGTTGGGACAGAGGAAGTAGAGAATGGTGTGTGCATAAGAGAGGGAGAGAGAGACAGATAGACTTCTCTTAAAGGCAGGCTTCTTTTATGCAGCCACTAAATGGTGTAATAATAATCTTAGAAAAGTGAAAATTTCAAAGAATAGAAAGAGGTCTAATATCTAACATCTTTATTAGAACAAATAAATTCCGACTCAACACATTTGTTTTTTCGGACAAAAAAAGATAAAATAAATTGTCCCTTTGTCACATCAGAGGAAGCCTGGCTCCTGGCTCTGATTAAGAGATGTAGTGTTCAAATATAGTCAAAATAATCCCTAGAGTTCTGGTGCTATGGATTTTATATCTAATTCTACTGTTAATATCTGTGAATCTGGGCATATTTCAGCTTATGTCAACCTAAACTGCTATATTTATAAAACATATCAATAATAACTGTTATTTTTTAAAAAATTTCCATGAGGAGAAGGAATAATATCAAAAAGATATTAAGAGATAGAAGGGTCAAAAAATTTTAAAAAGCTTAATGTTAGCGATTGTGTGAGACAATGAAAGAAACGATGGTCAAGTTATTTCTTCCCTGAATACTAATTGGATGGTCTGGAAAAGGACCATATACCAAATGTTTGATCTCTTCCCAGTAATGTCACTGGAGTAGCAAGCTTGGTGACTGAGACTGTTAAGTGAATGAACCTGAGTGCACGATCAG